ACATATAAATAAAGTGACTCGTGATAAAGTGCTAAATATATAATTCAAAATTGAGGTGACTCAGTGGTATCATATAAATCTGTCACTGTGCAGTGACCAATAGTGCTTTATAGTGCTAAAAAAGATGATATTCAAATTGTCCAAGTATAAGTACCGTATTTTCCAGCGTATAAGACGACTGGGTGTATAAGACGACCCCCTACTTTTCCTGTTTAAAATGTAGTGTTTGGGCTATACTCGCCCTCTTCCAGTGCACACCAGTGGGAGGAATAGTTCCCCATCATTGGTATTAGTGGGAGAAATAGTGCCCCATCATTGGTGTCAGTGGGAGGAATAGTGCCCCATCATTGGTGTCAGTGGGAGGAATAATGCCCCATCATTGGTGTCAGTGGGGGGGGAGGAATAGTGCCCAATCGTTGGTGTCAGGGGTGGGGGGGGGAGGAATAGTGCCCAATCGTGGTGTCAGGGGGGGGGGGAGGAATAGTGCCCAATCGTTGGTGTCAGTGGGGGGGGAGGAATAGTGCCCCATCGTTGGTGTCAGTGGGGGGAGGAATAGTGCCCCATCGTTGGTGTCAGTGGGGGGGGAGGAATAGTGCCCCATCGTTGGTGTCAGTGGGGGGGAGGAAAAGTGCCCCATCGTTGGTGTCAGTGGGAGGAATAATGCCCCATCATTGGTATCAGTGACACCAACGATGGGGCACTATTCCTCCCACTGACACTTGCTGACCCCTGTTCCAGTACGGTGCTGCTGCAGCCAGCATATGTGGTTGCAGCAGCACCTAAGCACGGCACACTTACCTGCATCTCCACTCGATTTTCGCGGGGCCGCTCAGCTCCGCCTGCTCGCCGGTGATTGGCCGCCTGTGTGCCTTTCCTGAGCTACAGTTCTGGCGGCCAATCACCGGTGAGGAGGCGGAGCCGAGCAGCCGCGCGAACATCCAGTGGACGAACCGAAGGAAGGAGCAGCCACGCTTCCTGGACCGGATCGTCGTGGGACCGGAGCCAGGTAAGAGACAGCAGCCCCTGCCCACCCCTGTACTTAGTTTTTCCCTTCTGTTGGAAGGGGGGGGGGCGGCCGCCCCCCTAAAAAGTGTCAGCATGCCGTTACCGGCGTATAAGACGACCCCCGACTTTTGAGAAGATTTTCAAGGGGTAAAAAGTCGTCTTATACGCCGGAAAATACGGTACATAGAAGATCTGATAATCTTCAGTTATTGGTGGTCTATCCAGTATTGTGGTGATGTGACCAATGGTATAAAGACTGCACACTCACCAGATGCGCAATCAATAAGCGCATTTAGAGACAACGCTCTCAGTGGATGAACTGGAGGTCCCTTTAAAGGTGAATATGGTCTGGTCTGGTGTTCCCTCACTGCTCACTCTGCTGTCAGTAATGGCTCTGTCACTCTTCTCCTGTAGCTCGGTGGGTTATTAGAAGCTCACAGAGAGCCCAGAAGGAGGAGGCCAATAGTGTGATACCGTTTGAAAAGGTGTATGTTTATTCCAACATAAATTGCAGGTGTATAGGGAACAGAACAGAAACTACTGACCATATACAGAGATCCAAGATGGCCGCCGGGACCCACGCGGTGCTGGCGTCGTGACATCCAATGTGTCTAATCACAGCACGATCACAGAACTGTGCAAACTTGGGCTTAGTTTTGGGAAGACCTCATGGAACAATAGGGCAATGGCCCAGGTGTTTTAATACAGTGGGCAGAGCTAAAGAAGTTAATTAAAGAGGTAAATTATACTTCTTTTGAAGTGTTAATAAACCCTACATTTAAAAAAAATAACATACAGCAGCATATAACTGCACTTGAACTGAAAATAATAAATAGCGCTGCGCAACCACAGTAATAGAATTATAGCTACACTATCTGCTGTTGTCACCACATATGTAAGTATGCCAATAATAAATGAAAAAAATGTAAACAAGTGAGACTGGCCAAAAAAAAAAAAAGAAAAATATATGAAAACACATAAAATATCACAATATAATGTTAATGTGCTAAATAAATGTCTTTGTCAATCACATGTGCAGACTGTGTCCTTTAATATTCCATAATTAAGATTTGTGGCACATGTAACTTCATATCCAGTGCATGTAAAAAAAACTCTGGAGCCTTCCAGTGCTACTGGCACAAAAACCAGTGAAACTCGTTGTCGTGACCAATACATTTCCTCACGTGCCACCTCAGTGCTCACAATGCTCTTACCTTAATTACACGATCCACATACACTGCAAGGTCATATAGCATGTGCTGTACATCATCAGGATCTCCTAAGTGCTTGATTGCACACCTATGCACTTGTAATATGTTCATCAAGACAACGTCCACTAGGGTGCCCGATTCCGCTCCTAAGTTGTCATAGAAGAAAATCCCTTTAAGGCTGTCTAAACACTCATGCGGCCATGCTGTGTCCCTTTATTAGTTATAACCGCACTCACATTACATAAAAAAAATGCTTGCATAACTTTAAAACACAGAGAAATACCGCTGTAGCTTCAGATTGCATCACTTCTGGTCTGCATCACCTAGGCTCCACCCTACGTGTTACGTCACAAGTCACGTGACTTCATCAGGTTTCCCCTGATGGATGTACAGCACGTGATATATGACCATGCATTTTATGTGGGTCATATAATTAGAGTGGGAACATTGTGAGCACTGAGGTGGCACGTGAGGAAGTATATTTATCAAGGCATTGAGTTTCACTGGATTTTGGGCTAGTAGCACTGGAAGGCTCAGAAGTTTTATGCATGCTCTGGATATGAATTTACTTGTGCTACAAATCTTCATAATAAAATATTAAAGGACACAAACTGCACATGATTGACAAGGATGTTTATTTAGCACATTAACATTATATTGTGATATTTTGATGTGTTTTATAAATTTCTCTATATGTTGGCTAATCTCACTTGTTCACATTTTTTCACATATATTGGTGGCATACTTAACAACAGCAAATAGTGCAGCTATAATTTCATTACGTTAGCATAATGGCATTTATTATTTTCAGTTTTAGTAGTCACTGTGGGAATACAATAGGTGTTAGCAGCTAATGTATAACTCGTTTTTTTTTTTTTTTGGTAGTGCAAAAGTTAATTTTATGTAATTATTTTATATATCTGCACTTGCTTTGCTGTTCACCTTGTATTGTCTTTTTGTCATTTCCAAGCAATCTGTACATATTTTGTGAATGAAAAGATGGCTTTTGCTGAATATCGTTCAGAACTGATTCAGCTTTCGTTTCCTGCTGTGTTCAACCCTAGATGTTTACAAAGAAATTTCCTTAAATACAGAATAAAAGCATCACAAAGATTTTAATTTCCCTTTTATGAAAGGCCATCGCATTTTCTGTTGTTTACCCGATATTATGTACTCCTTAAATTCACTGGAAAGGAGGTTTCAGTCTGTTATTTCTCACCACTTGCATGTTATTACCATCTTAGTCTTGAAATGAGTCATGAACCAGCTAAAACATTCTTTCAGCCCACAGAGCTTTTCTAAAAATATATGGAGTTAAGCAATACTGGCTTTCCTGCGTAAATACTCAGTTCCAATTTAAACTGAATGGCAGCGACTAAGATCCCGGTCTCACTGGGTGCGACTTTGCATGCGATTTGCATGCCAAGTCGCACCCTATTGTCCGCAATTACAGCGGTCATATTGGTGCGGTTCTGGTATGGTCGGAGCCGCACCGATTTCTAAAGTAGTAAATGCACTACTTTTGGTGCTTTTGCATAGACATTTGTGTCAGAACTCTTTGCAAATCGCACCTGATATCGGCATCTCACCTGCCTTTGAAATTGTGTGACTTCACTCTAAGTCGCACATTTTCAAAGTTGAGCTTCATGTAACCGTGGTGTTAGTCATAGAAAACTTTTAATCCTGTGCACATTTCATACCACTGCAGAACTTTGCAGGAAAATGTTAATATAAAATAGAAGCAGCTGCGCCCCAATTAAACTGGTAAGTGTATCTCAAAAAAATTCCAAACAGCAACCAGTAAAGGACTACTCCTATAAAGCACCCTAACATCAGATTAAAATTGTAATCTGAAAAATTCTAAGGCATTTAAAATATGTGAGTGCATATTTTTAAATATTTTGATGACTAAAAGAATTTACCCTATTTGTTAAACATAAATTCATTAAAATAGTAGATCAGAAAAAGGTTTTATCTTGTCTGTCATTGGTTAGCCATGTCTAGCCCCCAATCCAGCTCTTTGTCCCTTCTAGCTGTGGGCCTGCACATTACAGAGGCCATTATACAGGTGCTGAACAGGCCCACCACCTCCAGCTCTTTTCTGCGAGGCATGGTTCACATCAGACAGTGCTTCTTGAAACCAGTAAACCCAAAAGAGATGTGTGTTTTTTTAAGGGCAGGACAGCTGTCAGCAACACATCCAATATCATCACACTGATTGGAGTCAAGGTTGGCTCACTCCTGGCTCCAATTAGCTCTGGGAGAATTCATTAAGCTAGGGCCTCACATACTTTTTCCTCCCTGCACTGTGAATGTTTACATGTTATGTGCAATTAAACCATGGCAACATCTAATGTTTGTGTAGTATTATGTTCAGCAGACTGTGTTCTTCTATTGTTGTGACTTAGATGACGTTCAGAGCGCATTTTATGCCCAATTCATGCAAAACTCCACGTAATCCCAAGGGGTTCACATACTTTTTCTTGCAACTGTATTTGGGAAGAATATTTTTCAAATATATTTCAAATATATTTTTCTTCCATATGGGTAGAAAATGTCTTTTTCAGATTCTGTGCTTAGCAAACCAGCCAAGAGGGACCTAATGCTGGCAGGGCTCACTCCGCACCCTAAAAGGCCCTACAGCCCTTAACTCAAACTGTTGAACAACAAAAGTAGTATGAGGACTGAAGAAAGAGATTTCCTTTTACTGATAAAATGTGATCATATTTATTATTAGTTCACTTATTATTTTCCCTAAAGTATTTGTTTTTAATCTTTTTCCAGGTGCTGCCGTTGCAGGGATTTACCAAGTAGCAGGCAAGAACATGGCTCCTTTGGAAGCGCTGGTTTTTGGAGTTGGACAAACAGTACTAACAGTGATCATCTCCTTTTCACGAGTTCTTGCCACACTATGACACATAAAGTATTGTATCCTAATGGAGCTTAAGCCTAAAGGAACACCTGAAGTTTATTATTTATGTGATGTAGTTCATTAGCTACACATTGCATAATGTACTGATTTGAAGAAATCCCTAGCAGGATAGAGCAGTTTTAAAGGCTAGTTGAATCTTTTCAAGTAAAAAAAAGAGGTTTTCGATTGCTAAGCTGTTGCACTAATGAAATGCCTAGCACCTCACGTGCCTCAGTTAAAGGCAAGGTGTGATTCTTTTTCTACAATACTGCAGGAAGGAGCACCTTGCAGAACTGAACTATTTGAATATCCCTCTAGTGATGTGAGCATGCCTCTGTGGAAGTAGTGTTCAATGCTCTCCTTGTGAATTATTCACTACACCGCCATGATGGAACAAAAGTGTGAATGAAGTAATTGGACTAGCTGGACTTGGTGGTAGGATGCCATTGTGCCAAATGGATTCATGTCTTCATTCTTTATTAATGCACTCAACACTGTTGAAAGCATGAAATGTTGGTAAATGATAAAATTACATGACAGTCATGTACATGATCTAAACTGGAAACTATTTCACAAATGTGATTTGCTCTTAATTAATATTTGGACTATGAGAAGTTTGAAAGAGCCGTGATAACTCCAATTGTGTTTCTTGTTTCAGCAAGTACAGATGGTTTGTGACAACGTGAGATGTGAATAATACATGGTTCATTTTGCTTCATGACGCATTCAATACCCAAAGTTATTATAAATCTAGCCTGTGCCAAATGCTGGAAACTGAATGCACAGATGGAGATTGTATTGTCTGTAACAACTGTTCAGGTTGTAGTAGGCATTTCTCTTGTATAGGGAATGAAAAGATCAGTAACTAAGTTCAAAGCGTTCCTTCTTCCCTTTTTTCAGTTTTTTATAAAGAAGTTCATTGTACTAAGTGGGAATTTATGCTGTTTTTAAAGCAGCTTTAATCAGCCTGATAGCAGCAGTCACTCTCTCACTTTCAAACTACATTCTAGTTTAAAGTGTTACTAAACCCACAACATTAAAATCAGTCTGTATATGCAGTAAAGCATGCTTGTTATACTCACTGTGGAACCCAAGGGGTTAATCCTCCACATTGTGTAAAAAGGCTGTTTAATGCTGTCTTCTCTGATCCCCTTCCTTCTTTTACTGCCCCCAATCCATTTGCCATAGCACAGAGCAGCAGTGGAAAGTCTGCACATGCTCAGTTTGGTGTGTATTGCTAGAGAGTTTTAGAAACAAAAAATTTCTTTTGGGAGGGTGCATGTAACTGGCACAGGGCCAATCAGCACTGTCTGGACAGAGGGTCAGGGGTCATGCAGCCTTATAGAACAGTGAGAGGAGAATGAAAACTCATCCTACAAGATTAACGAGTGCTCAGCCGGACACTGATATAAGTCACAAGACTGCCGTATTCTGCTGATGAGAAAAGGTATTATCAGTTTATATTTACTAAAATAATTGCAATTCCATGTTCTGTGTACTGTGGAAGACTGGTTATAGTGAATGCAGGGTCCTGGGTTTAGTAACACTTTAACGGTAGTCAAATCATCCTCAATGGAGCTGAATAGGCTGATCTTCACCATCCCATACCCAATGTAAAGCCAAGAGTAGTCAGTGGTCAAAAGACAGTGGTCAAAACCACTGGAAAAATTAAGTTGCTTCTCCTACGAGTATTGTCAGTCATGGCAGATTTATGATTAGAAGAGAATAAGATAAATTATGTGGTTTTTATTGCTTTTCAAATTTTGTGATAGTTCTGTTTTTTCTAATATTATTTTTAAGTAAATATTTGATCAAAATTATTGGTCAAATACCATACAGTATGTAGTGCATGCATACATGTACACTCTTTACACTTATCCTGCTGTGGAGATCATACTCTAGGAACAGAGTATGATATTCATTAAAGCGGAGCTTTAATTAATTTTTGTCATTCAAAGCAAACTCACCAATCCATCTATGTCCCCGTACTTTATTTTGTTGAGAAATCACTTTGAAAAACAGCCCCTAGCATTTCTAGCTTGTTGAGTAAAGGGAGTAAAGGGAGATGATTCATGTTGAGTAAAGGGAGATGATTCATGTAGCATTTACTTCCTGGAATCTGTCTGCCCTAATCTCAGGCATGAAAGCAGGAGGGTATGTTTAGCTGAGAAAGCCCCTCCTCCCCTCTTCTAAATGAAATGAAAAGGACTCACGAAGACTCCTGGGATATATGGAATCATTTTGGCCCAGGCTATAAACCCATGAGCAACTGAAGAAATGTTAAAAAAAAAAAAGGTTAAAATAAGTAAATATAATATACCTTCCTATTTACTAATACTAGCAGCATAAGGATTTAAATAGTTCATCTTGTTTGAGAAAGTTTAGTTTCACTTTAATTTCATCCAATTACCCAGAACACTAGAGCATCAAAAAACTGGTCATATACTGTATAAATCTAGCTTGTTCGCATTTGGGAGCACTTTACTTTACTTGTTATGCGCTCTTTATTTAGAATTCCTGGTTGTGGTACATTTCTAAGATACTATAAGCACTTCTCCAAGAAGAGCAGTAACCAGATGATAAATTGTAATCATTCCTTATCTATTATAAACTGTATATACTGTATGTGAACTGGTGTGCACTTTTAGTCACCGTATTTAAAAGATAAGTGCATTTTTTAAAAGGAAGTTCCAAAAACCCATCAACTCCAGCAGATCCATTCATATAGATATAGAACTCAAATTAACTCTTCAGTAGGTTTAGATGGCTACAGTCTGCCCAGGGCCTGGTGGTAGATATTTTCTTCCATTTGGATGGCAGTGGCCACGGCTTATGAATGGGCAACTGCCATACATAATGATTTTCTGCCCTTTTCCCTACTATGAGCAGTGAACATTTTTTAAAAAATATTTGTTGTGAGTAGGGGGAAGGCAAATGTGGTATGGGGCTTATTACTACAAAAGTGATCGTGTCCACTAAACCAAAACTAGTTCATATCTATTGAAAACACAACATAAAAATATAAGTAAAACTACATAAGTCAGACAGTCTACAAGTTAAATAGTTCATGCATTGAATACCAAAACTATAATATGTTAGTACCACCGACAACAGATTTAATATTTTCAAAACTACTGTAAGCCAAACTGGCACTGTTAATCATGTTGACCTAGTATTGTTTGCTGTAATGCCTTTTTAAAGTTTTACATACAGGAACCAGAAGAAAAATATAAATGTCTATCATTAAACAGCATAAAAAAGATATACAGTTGCAAGAAAAAGTATGTGAACCCTTGGGATTACGTGGAGTTTTGCATGAATTGGGCATAAAATGTGCTCTGAACGTCATCTAAGTCACAACAATAGAAGAACACAGTCTGCTGAACATAATACTACACAAACATTAGATGTTGCCATGGTTTAATTGCACATAACATGTAAACATTCACAGTGCAGGGAGGAAAAAAGTATGTGAACCTTTGGACTTAATAACTGGTTGACCCTTCTTTGGCAGCAATAACCTCAACCAAACGTTTCCTGTAGTTGCAGATTAGACCTGCACAACGATCTGGAGTAATTTTGGACCGCTCCTCTTCACAAAAACTGTTTCAGTGTAGCAATATTCTTGGGATGTCTGGTGTGAATCGCTCTCTTAAGGTCATGCCACAGCATTTCAATCGGGTTGAGGTCAGGACTCTGACTGGGCCACTCCAGAAGGCGTATTCTGTGCTGTTGCAGCCATTATTTTGTTGAATTACTTGTATGCTTTGGGTCATTGTCCTGTTGCATTACCCATCCTCTGCGGAGCTTCAGTTGGCGGACAGATGGTGGTACGTTTTCCTGCAAAATGTCTTGATAAACTCTGGAATTCATTTTCCCATCAATGACAACAATCCGTCCAGGCACTGAGGCAGCAAAGCAGCCCCAAACCATGATGCTCCCCTCCGCCATGTTTTACAGTGGGGATGAGGATTTGATGTTGGTGTGCTGTGCCTTTTTTTCTCCACACATAGTGTTGTGTGTTCTTCCCAAACAACTCAATCTTGGTTTCATCTGTCCACAATATATTTTGCCAGTAGTGCTGTGGAACATCCAGGTGCTCTTTTGCAAACTTCAAACGTGCTGCAATATTCTTTTTTGGACAGCAATGGCTTCCTCTGTGGTGTCCTCCCATGTACTCCATTCTTGTTTAATGTTTTCCTTATTGTAGATGTGTCAACAAAAAATGTTAGCATGTGCCAGAGAGATTTCTGTAGGTCTTTAGCTGACACTCTGGGATTCTTCTTTACCTCATGCAGCATTCTGCGCTGTGCTCTTGCAGTCATTATTACAGGATGACCGCGCCTAGGGAGAGTAGCAACAGTGCTAAACTTTCTCCATTTGTAGACAGTCTGTCTTATCGTGGACACATGAACATCAAGGCTTTTGGAGATACTTTTGTAACCCTTTCCAGCTTCATGCAAGTCAACAATTCTTGATCGTAGGTCTTCTGAGAGCTCTTTTCTGCGAGGCATGGTTCACATCAGACAGTGCTTCTTGAAACCAGTAAACCCAAAACAGGTGTGTGTTTTTTAAGGGCAGGACAGCTGTCAGCAACATCCAATATCATCACACTGATTGGAGTCAAGGTTGGCTCACTCCTGGCTCCAATTAGCTCTGGGAGAAGTCATTAAGCTAGGGCCTCACATACTTTTTCCTCCCTGCACTGTGAATGTTTTACATGTTATGTGCAATTAAACCATGGCACCATCTAATGTTTGTGTAGTATTATGTTCAGCAGACTGTGTTCCTCTATTGTTGTGACTTAGATGACATTCAGAGCACATTTTATGCCCAATTCATGCAAAACTCCACGTAATCCCAAGGGGTTCACAAACTTTTTCTTGCAACTGTATATATATATATATATATATATATATATATATTACATACATACACACACACACACATACATACTATATTGCCAAAAGTATTGGGGGACGTCTTCCTTTTACACGAACATGA